GGGCAAAGGAGCGAACTCCTCCCTGAATCCGCATTTAAGGAACCGATCATAAATGAGATAAACATTTCTAATTTTTTAATATGGATAATTTTATAAAGATACTTAGTGTCCATAACAGGGCACCAAAACGTTTTTATAACGTTATAAGTATAACTATTCAAAAAGCGATTGAAATCGATAACAGATAATAAAACGAAAAAAGATTAAAATTAATATCGAATAACATAACAGAAAACAATTAACGATTGAAACATAAAATAAATTGCCATGAATTTGGAATATTTTTGTAAAATTGACTTAAATTACTAGGTAGTCTTAATAAAATATATATAAAAAAATTTTTTAAAACAGCAATAAATTTATCAACTAATAACATATAAATAAGCGTTATCAATTATAATTTATAAATATGCTTTCAGAAAATTCGTCGGATATTGTCGGCGCGGAACCCATATAGTTTACCTCATCAAATATAGTTTCAGTGAACACCGATGAAACATTAGTAATACACCATAAATAAGTTATAAATTGATAATAAATACATATTTTACGTGGTATATGCATTTATTGTTATTATACAACAAATATGATTGCTTTATTTATAAGTTATGAGTTATGAGAATTATAAAAAAAAAATATTGTTAAAGGCAGAGGTGTATTGGTACGTACACATGGTTTTACGGCGTATTCACATCAGCAGATTTTCGACTATCGGCGTATACCTAATGTAAAATATTATTTTACGGGTATAAGTTTCTAGAATAACTCGAAAACAAAAAAACTAATAATAATTTAATAGTTCAATGGAAAAAATTTTCTATGAATCATGAAATTTGATGAAATATTTATCTGTTGAAGATTACAGGGTACGCTGTGTTTAATGTAACTATAATGAATAGGCTTCTCCAACGATATATTTTTGAATATCGATATCGTTTTGAAAATTGTGCGATATCGAAAAAAAAATTTAGATATAGATATATCGATATCGATATTCCGATATCTCTATGACTATCATAATAAAATTAATCAAAAAATACTTAATACTTATTTGACTAGGTAGTAAGTATACAGAATTATGTGGTAGGTGCTACAAAAAAAGGTTAGGTAATAGGTACCTTATTATTGGTACTAGGTAGTAACTAGTAGCCAGTAGACAGTAAGTATTAGTTATTAGTTAACAATTAATTGTTTTAAAATAGTAAATATTATTTTATTCAAGAGCTTTAAAATCAGTTCAGCTTATAAAGATTAAAGGGCTATTAATTATTATAGTCTTAAAATACAGCAGTAAAGTTCTTTTTGATAAGAAATCAATTGTAAGGCAAATAATAGGTATTTTTTTGAAGATGGCTTTTAAAGTTAATTTTTTCTTGTGAAGTTATATGATCAGATAGTCTTGTTATAGTTGAGTTACTAGGAACAACATATTCAGGAACAGCCAAATTCATAAACGCTCTAAACCCTTTTCCTTCAGTAACATTAAATGGCCGTACATTTCTAACAACAAAGTTCAGTAGACCTCTAGTTAGCTTTTTGTAGCGTTTACTATTGTGTGACAATTTGTACTTAGAACTTGTAAAAAATGATGATATTGTAGATGTTTCAGATTTAGAAGGGCCTTTTGTGCATTGTTGTGTGATTTTAGATTTGTTGTGTTACCGGAGTATGCTATTGACAGTGAGCAGTTACGGCAAGTAACTTTTTTTAGTATTTGTTATTACACCACTAGAATCTACATTGAATCCAAATGTCTTCCATACATCACTCCGCGCACCAGCTAATGACACAAGTTTATAAACGGCCATTATTATTTAATATTTATTAACAATTATTAAAAAGTAAAAACCATTTAGACAGTTGAAGCGCTCGGCTGAACAACGGGACAAGCGCCAATCTCGGCAATATTACGTTTATCGATGGAGTATCGGGGCACGAGTACAATTTATTGTATATGTTCACTACCGCATTGAAATTACAATAAAAATAGATTAAAAGGCAATAATAAGCAACAATAAGTTTAGTTTTAAGTCGTGAAAATGGTCCGTAATATTTTAAACGCCTCCATTGTAAAATGCGCTCAGTGGCACTTGTCCCGTTGTTCGGCCGAGCGCTTCAATTACTATATTAATGAGAAAAACAAAACATAAACAAAATATTTTAACGAATCACAAACGACATCGGAACGTCCGAAATTATCAAGCGATAAATACTAACTGACTAAGATACAGAGGTATGAGGTATGATACTATTAGACTAATGAGTAATGACTAATGAGTCACTGGGAAAAATAATTATTTTTCTGTTATCCTGTGCTATTTTAAACCCAGAACACCCGATATATTTCGATTATTGATGTATCGTACGATATATTACGATTATCTATACCTAAATTTCCGAAAAAAGTTCGCGATAACGATATCGTTGGAGAAGCATTAAATAAAATAATATGGAGTGTGGATAGGGTTGCCATAAATTTATAAGGTGAAACCGGGACAAAACAAACACATTATCGAGTAATATACTTTTTATGTAACTTTTAATATATTGAAAGGACCAGTGGAGTATTCAAGGAGGAATCAGATCCCCCCCCTCCTAGGCCTTTTATTAAATGTTATAAAATAATATTTTTAGCGTGAGGTCGTTAGAAACGTAAAAATAAATAATGATTTGCTTGCAAATAATCCCTTCCCCATACAAAAGTTATGTATACGCCACTGAAGAGGATCATTATTGGCCTGTAATATAATATTTAAAAATATTTTTGTGAAATAAAATATATTATATATTTATATGTGTAAATTACAAATTGTATTTTTATTATATATTGTTAATCGATTACGATTAAAAATGTACTTTGAGATAAAATGGTCGAAATGAAAAATTAAACAATACTACAATTTCTTCTAAACGTCCAAGCCGGGACATATGGACGTCCCGAAAACATTTTTCGGGACACCGGGACGCGAAGTCCAAAAACGGTGACAATCCCGGTTTTCCGGGACGTATGGCAACCCTAAGTGTGGACATTCAGCCATGGTTCTTAAATCTGTATCATGCAATTTATAACGCACTGCAAATATTTATTTTATGTTGTTATAATTTATAGTCTTAATAGAAATTATAAACATAAAGTTACAAAGAATTAATTAAATTTTTTCGAACGTATGGAGAGAAAACAATTGTCGAGTGAAGAAAATTTATTTTAGGATTAATAACTATATTTTTTTAGTGCGTATACTCAAAATATGTTTACCAATACACATAGGCGTAATTCGGGGGTGGCAAGGGGTGGCAGTTGCCACCCCAGAATTTTGAAGTAAAAGTCTCAATAAATTACAAATACCTAATTGAAAAATACCTGAAAATGAAATATAGTATAATTTTCATCGATAATAAAAATAACAATAAAATATTTTTGGAATAATTGTAGGTATTTATCATGACAAAATATACATGTATATACAAAATGTATACAAAAATAATAGTCATTAAGGTCGCGACAACGATACCACACGCGCTTCGGTACTAGTTTCCTGGAACGTTATTGGTTATTTTTAGTTTCTACCTAGAATGGTATAACTGATATTTCATTGTTCATTGCTGGTACAGTTTGATGTTAGACGTCAGTATTGATGTATAAAGATTAAACTGAGACAGTGAGACATGGTAAGTTAATTTTAGTTATTTCATAATATGTTTAACTAGTGAAGTAAAAATACAGTATTAATTTACTTTGTATGATACAGTGTGTATCAAACTATGACATAATTAATTTTTGTATTATACAATAAACAATATTCAAATTCTTTTATTTTATAATATACAAAAATTTTGAAATTGCACGATGACAATACATCGTAAAATTAATGCGCGTTTTTAAGTCGCTTATTGTCAGTAAGTAAAAATTAACAAATAGTAATCACGGGACACGGGTTATTCATAATACGTAATCGATATACTATTATTTTTTTATAATCGTACATTATGTTTGACATTATGACAGGTTTCCCTAAATTTAGTTTACTTGTTAATCATTATTAGTTTTTATCAATGTGTTCTTTATTTTGCTATATATATAGTGTTACATGGTGATGCGATAACGATCGACAATAGTTATCGTTTTCTTTGAAATGCAGATAATATTATTTTTTTAGATTACAGCGATGACGTTAAGTTTAGATTTTTATATATCTATATTTTATTTTTCTATAACCAATGATCATATGTATATTTTTCAAAAATTATTATGTTTATAACTTATAAAAATGCAATAAACAATTATCTCAAAATAACGGTTACTATTCATATTTTTCCTATCATTATTATTATTATATTATATCTGAAGCAATATTTTAATAATTTAGTTACATTTAAACTGTGGTTTAAAGCTTTACATGTAATGTGTAATGTATATTATTTTTTTCTTAATGAGGTAATATTATACATTGAAAACTTAATATGTTTGTAACTTAGTACTAACATTGTGCTCGCAACAAAACAAAACCGATGAATTGACTTAAATTACAGTAAAATATAGATGTTTTATGTAATTTACTTTATTTTTAATGATAATCTAATTTTTAAATAAATTTTATATTACATAATTCCCTCCAAATTGTTCACGCGCCGCCACTGAATATATTTATAAACCATAAAAAAAAAAAATTTTCATATATTCCCTTACGCTTTTAAATATTCCATAAATAATTTCAAATTACAATAAAATATAAACATCTTAAAGTGGCTTTAACTATCGTAAAACGACATTAATTCGATATAATATAATTATTATCAATGTTTATTATATATGAAAAAGAGTGCAAACACTTTAGCTTAATGGGTTAGGCTTGAACCCGGTACAGTCGCATTCTTTACTTTTAACTAAACCACCACACTACAACTACCGCGCTAAAAATTCTATATTTAACTCAAAATTGATCAAATGTTTTTGAATTTTTAAATGTCATCATCATCTTTTCTTACGGGTTTTTTCCCAGGCTCAAAAAAACAAAAAAGGGCAGAGTTCGTTGCTGTCCTTCTTTAGCACAGACCCACCAAATAAAAAGAAACGGTTTGAAGATAAAGCGCTAGAAGGTGTTTTGGAACATGAACTAGAACTAAATGTAGAAGATGTATCAGGCTCGTCATCCGCTCAGTCAACCGCTACTACTAAGCACATTGCTCCTATATATGAAATTCAGAGGCCCGGCTGTTCTTCTAGTTCAAATGGTCAGTTAGAAATTGGTCTAATTAATAAACGTGATCCTGCCTATGGTCCAAGTATGGCTATAGTGTGTTTTGGGGAAGGCTCATTTCAACCATGAGATTTTAATTTCTCTAAAACGGATGGTAGGAAATTTAGACCGGAGTGTTTTAAAATTTTTTCTTGGCTGGAATATAGTCTTCTAACCGATAAAGCCTTCTGTTTTGTGTGTTGTTCGTTTTACAACTCAGAAGATAAAAATAATGCAGAAGATGTATTTACACTCATTGGATTTTCCAAATGGAACAAAGCTGTAAAAGTATTTGAGAAACATAAGAAGAGTAACTCACACCAAAGTAATAACATAAAACTCAATTGTCTAAAAGAAGCGAACAAAAGTGGCACTGTTATTGAAAAAGTAAATCAAAAGTATTCAGAAGAAGTACAAGAAAATAGATTGTACTTGGAAGCTTTGTGTGAATCGTTGATATTTTGTGGCAGACAATCTATTGGTCTAAGAGGTCATGATGAATCTACGGATTCAAAAAACAGAGGAAACTTTTTGGAGTTGATGAAACTTCGTTCCAAAGATAACAATTTAATAAAAAAAAATTCTTCATGGAGTATCGTAAACATTTTCAGTATAAGCTACTGTCCATTATTGGGGAACAAATTAAGTGTCAAATTGCTAAAGAAGTTAAGGAGCCAAGGTTTTTGCAATTATAGCTGATGAAACTCAAGATATAGCAAAGCACGAACAATTAGCTATTGTCGTGAGGTATGTTAATGAAAAGTTAGAAGTTCATGAGTCATTTGTGGGGTTTTACCGTGCTAAAAGAACTGATGGTAAAACACTGGCAAATGAACTTAAAAATATTTTGATTTCAATGGATTTGAACATTAAAAATCTGCGTGCTCAGTGCTATGATGGGGCATCGAACATGAGAGGCCCATACAAAGGAGTGGCAGCTATAATTATGCAAGAAGCCCCAATGGCTATGTACATTCACTGCAATGCACATATATTGAACTTGTGCATTGTTAGCTGTTGCACGCGCGTGTCTTCAATTAGAAATACGTTCTTTGTACTTCAAAGTCTTGAGAACTTCATTGAAAAATCAACTAAACGACATGCCATTATTGAAAACATTAAAAAAAGTTTCCAGAGCTTTAGTGGTGGAACATCAATTTTTGAGTGATACCAGATGGGCTTGCCGTGTCGAATCAGTGCGTTCTTTATTAGATAATTTTGATAACACTGACAACTCTACGAGAAATTTCTGATACGGACCCTGACAGTGGTGGACAAGCCTATACTTTGTTGAAAAATCTGGAGGACTTCAACTTTGTATTTGATCTGCTATTACTGAAGAGAGTTCTAGCACAATGTGACATACTATCAAAAACTCTTCAGTCAAGCAGTGTTACCTACGAAATTGTGAAATCTGTAAAAAACAGCACTCTTGAAGTATTGAAATCCTTCAGAACAGATGAGTTTTTTTCAAAGTTGTTCAATCACTCTACAGAAATCGCTGACAAGTGTGGATTTAGAGCTGCCCAACTGCCAAGACAGGGAAAAATCCCCTCGAAAATTGGGAGGGAGTAAAGCTCCATTTGAATCTGTAGAGCATTACTACAAAGTTTCAACTGTCTGGCCATTTATTGATATCCTAAATGAGGAGATAGAGGCCAGGCTTCAAGAAAAAAACCTGTATGTACTTAAAAATCTAAGCAAAGTTCTAGGTGGAACTGATGAAGATACAGCCAGTGTTAAGTATGTGTGTAAATATTACAATTTAGACAATGAACATCTTTTGTCTGAATTGAGATGTTTCTATAAAATGAAAGAATCAAGAAACAAAACTATTCAAGAAAGATCTGACGTTTTTGTACAAAAATCTTTGAAAAGTGTGTTCCCTATGCTTTTTGAACTTTTTCGTCTGTTTTTTACGATTCCAATGAACTCAGCATCTTGTGAGAGGTCTTTTTTGTGCTTGCGACGGTTAAAAACATACACCAGAAACAAGATTGGCCAGGAGAGGTTGTCCTCGTTAGCACTTTTGGCTATAGAAAGAAGTATTGGAGTAAACATTTCCAAAGTGATTGACGACTTTAATTTAAGCCAGAAGAGAAGACTTAGTTTTGTGTAAAAATAATTTAAGTATGCTATAAATTAAAATATTTTTTTTTTTTTTTGTATCATGTTAACTTGATTTATCCTTTTTTTTATAAACAAATGAGCCAGGCACACATAAATTAAAATTAGGCACATTTTTATGTTGTGTGTGAACGATAATTATTTTACATGTGGTTTAATTAATAATTCAAGTCATAATAAATTATTTTTTTAGGATAAATTGTTAGCAATTTAATTTTTACAGAAATAGTCTGAGAGTTTCAAAAATAAGAAATTTAAAGCCAGTTTTTGAAAAAAAAATTCTGGAAGGGGTGGGAATATCCCTCGGACCCTTTTCACCAGGGAGTATTCCTTACCACCCGATAGATCTTGCCACCTCAGTTTAAAAGGTGAAATGACGCCCCTGCCAATACACCACTGGTTAAAGGTAATAGATATATAATATAATATTTAAAATATATAATGTTATTTTACATAGTATTATTTGCTAAATATTACACTTGAAAACGTTTCAAATTTTAGACTAATTTAAATAACGCAAAACGCTAAATTGTTCATAACGTTTTAATTGTCAATAATGGTAAACGGAAAATTTTTGAAACGTTTAAATTATTTATAGCGTTAAACACTCAATTGCTTAAAACGTTTAAATGTCCAATAACGGCAAACAGTATAAATTATTTTGATTTAGCCCTGGTCTATATTTAGTGAAAAATCAAATAAAACACAAGCGAAACTTTCAAAACACAGATAGGCGTTAAAAAAAAAAACTACTCAAAAGTCAATTCTAAGTGGATCCGGCATTAGATTAAAAAACCACAAATATTAAGGATTCACCTGATTTAAATACTACCAAAAATTTTACTTGTAAATTTTGAGTCTGAATTAAAAAAAAATTTGAATCAACCCCCCCCCCCCCACTCAAGAAGTAAGTCTAAATACGCCCCTGCGGCCTGCAGTAGCAGTATTCTGTCATTATCTGAATATCATATGGTTCGTAATCCACGTGTCTACCAGTGGTATCATCCGAAAACCCGATATTTCAAGGGGAAATAAATTGTGTTTATCAGTAAACAGCCTGATTTGTCACTTAATTTAAAAACTGAACAACCAAATTCGTAATTTCTCTCTTTGGATAATATTACAAATTCGTCCCTATTCTTTGGTTCATGAATTGTTGTTTGTGTTTTTTTTTCATGTTACAGCTGCCTCAAATTAAATCAACGCGTTACACTGGAAACTGATGGTAACTAAATCACATTGCTTATTTTTATACATTATGAATCCTTATACATCATGTGTTACTACTTATGTTTAAAATATAAAAAAAATAGTTAACTGATGCAAACTGAAGCGGATTTCACACGATCAGTAATACTGACAGTATTATTTCGTTGCAAGGACTATTGTAATAGAGACAAAAAAAGAACTGCTTATTATGAAGTATTAGTAGTCTATAAGTTGATTAAGCCTGAAGCTACTATAGACGATATAAAAAAAAAAAAAACTGCTAAGTAATTTTCGTGAAGAATAAAAAAAAGTTCATGATTATTAAAGAAGTGGTTCTATCATGCTTAAAAGTTTATTATAGATGTTAATGTTAGAAAATAATTCTGGTAGTCTTTTGCATCGAAAAGTTGCATTTCTTTTAAAAGATTTAAATAACAATACTTCTTACGTTTGGCAATCCATTCTTTTACCCATTGTTTCCTATTAGTTATACTTTTACTTTGAATATAAAACGCTAAAAGAATTGCTACGCACGCTTTTCAATGACAATTTTTGTCCATTATAATAATAAAATAATTAATTTTTAATTAAATAAAAACATTTAGAAAAACCAAAGAAATTATAATACAATATTTAATAATAATAATACAGTTGATACTTACATTCATTGAAGTTCACAACTTCACCAGTCGAATGACAAATAAACTGACTATTATTGACAATAATCTATACTGACTGTGTGAAGAGTACACTGTCAATATTTCTACTGTCAGTATTACTGTTTGTATGGGGCCCGCTTAATACACATTTAAAAAGGAACATAACCTAGGTAACTCATTTTTATTTAATTAGCTATATGTGATCATTGATATCTTCTATTGGTACTTGATAATTTATATTCTAGTACAGGGCCGTCCAAAGGTTTTTCGGGGCCTGGGACAAATTAATTTGGGGGCCCTCCAGCGACCTTAATAATAAGATATGATTAACAAAATACTCAATGAGAATATAAAAATTCTTGCAAACATATTTTTCCAAACCTTAACCAATCAAGCTTATTTAAATGCATGTGCTGCATTACACACTTAATTTTCAATAAATTCAAAATAACGCATCACCATATATTATACTAAAAAGTACAATTTATTCCTAAATAATTATGTTTATTCAAAGAAAATATGAACTTGGATGTTTATTGGATTAAATAAATAGATAAGGTAAATTAAGAAAATTAAAAAAAAAATTATTTTATTAGTTTATTATTGTATATAAAATATTAAAATGTATAGCAAAAAACTATTTTTCTTGCTTTTTTTTCAGCAAAACTGTCTATAACATCATCATAATCTAAAGTCTTTGCTAACTTGTGTTCAATGGAGAGAAGTATTAAATGATTTAGGCGGTTCTCTTCTGTAGTTGAATGTAAATAACTTTTTATTAATTTCAGTTTACTGAAAGATCTTTCTCCCGTTGACACAAACGTGGGAATGGTAGAAAGTATTCGAAGACAAATACATATTTGAGGTAGTATATTTTGAAGTCTTTTCTTATTTATTTGATGAAGAATTGATGCAATTTCGCTATCATTAAAAATAATTGTTGATACTTTGTGTATTTTGCAATAAATGCGTAGTTCCTCTTTTAATACAATAGCACACACGTCATTAGATTATAAACTTGAAATTATTTCAGATTGAGCTTTGAAAAATTCATCACATGGTTCTTCTGGTGGGCTGATAATTGAAGAAAATGTGTTTGATATTTTCTTCATACTTTCTTGAATACCATAAATATCAAATAAAAGCCTATCTAATGCTGTTACAAACACTTCAACTTTAAATTGTCTTGACTGGGCAATGTATACTGTATAGTACACACATGACAAAATGTGTCAATTATTTTGTAATGGTATTACAATATAATGCAATATCACTAATAGAATTGTATATTATTATGTGGATGACACAAAGAAAATAATTTTTGTCTCAATAACAGTGGTAGCCGGTCGATGACAGCTTGTCATTATTAATTATTATACATCAAAACTTTTAAGGGGGCCCCATAAAAAAAAATATTCCGGGGCCTGGGGCACAATGTACCCATTGCCCCCCCTTCTGAACGGCCCTGTTCTAGTATATAATATATGTATAATATTTTTTATAATACTTTCACATACAAAGTCATAAAGTTAATACTCTTCTATGAATGATATTATTCTTTATTATTAAAGTTATGTAAATATGATTATTTATGTGATTATTATATTGATATTAAATGTGATTATGATTATGTATGTTATTAGATTATTGACACAGTTAAATTTTAATTTTTAAACAATTACGGTTTAAATGTTGTGCAGATAAAAATGAATGAAAAAAAGTCTAATGATATTCTTCATAAAAGTCGATATGGCCGAGAATCAACTAAAAAAAAAATATTTGAAGTGAATCAAATTTCATCCAATGATTCATCTCAATCTGCAATCCGTGTATTACCTAAAAGAAAAAGATCAAATAAATTGCCCCCATCAGTTTCAAGATGTATTCTTAATTGTAGTTTGCGTAAAGGTACAACAAATGAACTTAGTATTGGTGATATAGTTTGGGCAAAGACTGGTAAATACCCTATATGGCCTGGAATTATAACGAGTGATCCAGAAACCAAAACTTTTTTTAAAAGCACGTATTTATAATAATTTCCAATAAAATTTGAATGAATAATTTATACTAAATTATGCTTATATTGTAGAAGAAAAAAAAAGTATTTCTATGCTTCATATATACTATTTCAATGATGCATACAAAAGAAATTGGTTAAGGCTGAAACAAATTTTCCATTTCTCTGGAAAAAATGATATATTAGCTGGAAATCCTAAATTAATGGTAAGTTAAGTTTTATAATGATTATAATTTTAAAACTATTTTGAGTAACTTAATTTTTTTGTTATTTTCATTGTGCATAGAATTAATTTTTACTCTTAAGTTAATGTTATTTTTATATATATACTTATGGTGGTATGTACCATTTTTAAGAGAGAGCCTATTTTGTCACTATCAAATTAAAACTAGGATATTTAATCACATAAAGTTATTAATACATATGCAAATTGTAATTTCTTAATCATAGTATAAATTATATTTATAAAAAATAATTAAAAATATTTATTTAGATTATTAGTCACTTTGAAAATATTTTAAGGAAATATGTTAAGAAATTGTTGTAAGTAAACCTACTAATTAACAAACACTAATTAAAACAATAATTTATTCTTAAAAACACCATAAAATAAAATAGTGGTGTATTTTCGGGGAGGGTTTCTGGGTCTCAACACCTCCAGAAGACAAAAAAGGTTCATAAGTCATAAATGACTTGCTATGAAAGATACACAGAAAGAGAATATTAATTTGTATTTATAATAATAATACTATTATATGATTATTAATTTATACCTTATATACATTTTTTATAATATTATAAAATCACTTATTATTTTTAGAACAAATTAAAATTCTCTCTCCCAAAAATTTGAAATTTTGCCATTTGAATTTAAGCAATTTAATCAATATATTAAAATAGTTGGTAAAACTCTGATGTTATAACATTTGAACTGAAATACTTTATTACTAGTATTAAACCTATAATCTCTAAAGCTAATGGAATATATTATAATCATGTGAATTTTCAATGAATAAAAATTAAACAACTAACCTTTATACTAAAGTGGCTTATAAATATTCTTCGTATTAAGTAGACAATTCTCAAAAAAAAAAAAAAAAAACCTAGTATGTTTTAATATAACAACATTACTTTACTATTAATTTTATTATAAAGAATTTTATCATATACTTCAACACAATGCTACCAAACTTAATTCTGATAAATATAATTATAATATATTATTATATTTTGATAATTAAGATATTTTCTTAATTAATTTACAAACAATGACCCATAGTTTGGGAAACGCTGTTGTAAAGCATTTATCAGGGGTGACTTTATCAATGGTTAATCATAATCTATTAGTCGATCTTTGATATTTTATTATGATTTGTATTTTTGAACATTTATTGTTATTGATCTATAGATTTGCCAATAATTGCAAATAATCATGAAAAATCACATGTAAATATTTGTTTTCATTAATCTCTACCTAAAAAGATTTGTCAAGCTTTGGTAAATATTTATAAAATAATAAACACAATATTTTATTCTAATATAAAAAATTCTTATTGGAAGTAATTTATATAGGTTATTAAAAAATACTTCAGTCTTGGTCCTTTAGTTATAAACACCAATATCTATTACAGTATCTAAAGAATATTGTACCAACTAAAACTTTACACTTGTTTTGAAACATCTTAAATATTGGTAGAATTTAAATTGCAATAAATAAATTGTAGAAAAAAAATAGTAATTTGTATGAATTAATATTATATTGGTTGTACATTAATAAGTTTTTGTTATATGTAGAAACAACTTTCTCGCAGTAAGCTTAAAGTAAAATGGAGTAGAGCTGTACAAGAAGCAGAATGTTTGTTATCTATAAAGAAGTAAGATATATATTTATAATGGTTTTTTAATATTTTATGGTATTAAAAATCAAGTTATATTAACTTAAAATTATATTGTAGAAATGAGCGTCTTACTGCATTCTTTGATACCAAATTTATATCCAGTAATCATGATATGAAATCAGAAAACAATATTCAGGTAAATCATTAAGCTACTATAAGTTCTATAATTGTTATGCTTATTGAAGGATTAATAAATTAATGTTTAAAAAGAATCATTTGAATTTATTTTTTAAATTATAAACATAGACTTAGAACAAATAAGGTATTTGAAAAATTATTCAATTTAGCTTTCAACATGTTAACTATAATAAGGTATAGACTTTTTTAACATTTAATGCCTAAATTAAATGTATTATGTAAACTTATATTATGATAAAGTATTGCTGGAATTTTTAAGTTTTTCTTCTTGTAGTAAAAACAAGATTTTTGAAGTTTAAGGCATTTAACAATTATATTTAAATTTAAGTTAATAATTTAAAAAGCAAATCCATACATGCATTTTTTTCTTTCACTATTAATTTGCTGTACATAATTTATAAATTATGATTACATTGGTTCAGTTAAACAAAATAGATTAATGTATATATATTTATAGACAGAAAGGTCATCTACTCATCCACAAACATCATTCACTCCAAAATATATGAATATTATACCTAAGCTCCAGCCAAAGCTAGAATTAGAAAATAGTAATTATGATAGTGCCACTTATCAGGAAAACCTAACAAATATTGTAAGTTACATGTATTAAATTTCTTTAATTTGTTTCATCAGTAAATAATTAATATAATATATTAATTAGTATAATTAAAACTACAAAATATATTCATTACAATTTTAATAGGTAATCAATTATGCTAAGATAATGATTATTAAGAGTTCTGTAATTGATAAGATAATGAAAAATACTTCATGTTCATGGTATTTCTTAAATTCTTATTGAAATTATTTTTAATTAAATCATGTTTTAAAATATATTTTTATTCTTTAAATTGTTATGTGAAGCTTGAAAGTTTAGTTGAACAATTGATTAATTTTTAATAATAATTTTATCAATAATAAAATATTGCTGCAATTTTAAGTTTTTTTTCTTTTAGTAACAAGATTTTTAGTTATTTAAGATTGTTGAAGTTTAAGGCATTTAACAATTATATTTAAGTATTTGATTGATTTCAATTTAGGTTGATAATTTAAAAAGCTAACCCATACATCATTTGTTTCTTTCACTATTAATTTTTTGTACATCATTTATAAATTATGATTACATTTGTTTAGTTAAACAAAATTGATTAATGTATATATATTTATAGACAGAAAGGTCATCTACTCATTCTCAAGCATCATTCTCTCCAAAATGTAAGAATATAATACCTAAGCTCAAGCCAAAGCTAGAATTAGAAAATAGTTATTATGATAGTGCAACATGTCAGGAAAACCTAACAAAAATTGTAAGTTACATTTTTTAAATCTCTTTAATTTGTTTTATCAGCAAATTATTAATACGATATATTAATAAGTATAGATAAAACTACAAAATATATTCATTAAAATTTTAATAGGTAATCAATAGTGCTGAGATAATGGTTATTAAGAGTTCTGTAATTGATAAGATAATGAAAAATACTTCATGTTCATGGCATTTCTTAGACTGTTTCTTATTGAATTATTTTTAATCAAATCATGTTTTAAAATATATTTTTATTCTTTAAATTGCTTTGTAAAGGTTGAAAGCTTTGTTAAACAATTGATTAATTTGTAATTTATTAATTTTTTTCAAATTAATATGATGTCTGAAGTATGTATACAAATATTAGGGTTTATATTATAACCATCCAAGATATAAATTTAATCAAAACTGTAATATAATTATCAATATTTTTCTTAATACCTTATAGTTATGTATTTTGTAAATTCTAAAATTAAATCTTTAATTTTTGATTTAATAACTTTTTTTTTTTGAAATTGCTTAAAGGTTTGATTTAATTTTTAAAGAATTCTTGTATAGTTTATAATAAAACAATCCAGTTGTGTTTACTTTGTTAAAAATAAAATTGTAATTATATCATTAATGATTAAATTATTATTTGCTTAAACTTATTAATCTTTGTTTCTTCACAAATAATATTTATAATTTTGTGGCAGTATATTTTTAAATATTACTATTTGGATAACACATAATTTCTGTATGTAAATCTTCAATCTCTATGAATATTTAAAACTATTAAATAAGATAGTGGCCTTAATTTTTATTCAATAATTAATTTTATTAAATTATGCATAAAAAAAATTGTACCTTATACATATAGATGTATACAAACAATATCTTACACATACAGATGTAGTATTCACATGACATTTATGATGCTATGTAATTCATATAGGTTATATAACTTAATTTCAATCATGTTTTTTGCTTCATAGCAATCTATATTAGATTTTAGTTACATGTATAATTCTATAATTGAGTTAATTATTAATTTTTATAGGGCTTATTTGAAAGCAAAATTTCAGTAAATTTCACTGACTGATTCGAACATTAAACAAATCTAAATAAAAATAACTCTGTACATTACTTTTGCTTAATATTTCTTAGAGTAGATCTGAAAAAATAATTAAAAAATAAATAAATAAATAAATAAATAATAATCTTTTTCAATAATTGGCTATTGGTTTTGTATAGCTTAATATAATTGAAGGGCTACAGGGAAAAATTATAATAGTCAAAATAAGAAAAATATCTAATAATAAAATCATCTTGTAATTTATTTTAAAAAGTAAATTTAATTTTTTTATTGATTATTTTGTATTTTATCACTTATTTTGTTGTGATCTAAAAATTTAAAATAATACTAAACAGTTTAGGAATATTGACTATTATCTATTTTTTCTGCAGCCCTCCAATTATAATTTTCACATTGTCTCTATATTATATGTTTTTTTGTTGACAGTCGATTCTTCAAAAAGATCACCCTAGAATATTGATACCAGAACTATGTAAATTATTCTTTACCAATGGATGGGTAACTGGAACTGGTGGTGGTATCAGTATCAAGTACAAGTATGTTATTTTTAAATGTTTTACATAAATCGTATATTAATTTAAAATTTTATACTTATAATTTCTTTTTCATAAGTTCATAAATACAGTAATTATTTTTTCTTCTTTTCCCTTGCCTTTCTCCCAACTATTTGGGGTTGGCCACCTTTGTTCTAAACCACTACTCATTTTGATTTTCTACATCTACGCACACACCACTTGCCTCATATCATTTTCAATCGTATCTAACCTTCTCTTTTTTGGTCTTTCTCTTCCTCTTTTCCCTTCAACATTCAATTTTATAACCACTATTACTGTTTTTGTTTTATTTTGCCTCATCTTATGCCCAAACCATCTCAATCTATTTTCTCTCATCTTGTACACTATCAATGCTGCTACATCAATACTAACTGTCACATATTTGCTCCTTATTCTATCTTCTTTTGTCATTCTACTCATCCATCTAAGCATTTTAATTTCCACAATACTTATACTCTGTTATATTCTCCTGTCAACTGCCAAACAATATAGCATAATTGATCTCACTACACTCCTGTAAAATTCACTTTTCAACCTTATTGGAATTCTCTTATTACATAAAACGCTCAGCACTTCTTTCCATTTCCAATTAGTTCTATATTTTACATCCATTCCCAAGCTCCTGTCTTTTTGTACAAATACAGTAATTATTTGGATATAAGTTTTTTATTATTATTTGTAAAATATATTAATTTTTGTTTAATAATATTAAATGTTTTAGTAACCAAATTTTTATTGCTCCATCTGGAGTACAAAAAGAAAGAATGGAACCAGATGATATTTTTGTTCAAGATATGAATGGTGCAGATATAGAAGTGCCTCCCTATGAAAAAAATTTGTCAAAAAGTCAATGCACTCCAATATTTATGTGTTCCTATATAGGTAAATTATTATCAAAAATATTAGTTATTATTTATTAGTATCAATATTATTTTAAGTTAATTTTAAGTAATCTATACTGAAAACAATTTAGAGCGTAATGCAGGTGCAGTGATCCATATACATTCACCTGAATTAGTAAAATTATGTTTACTGAATCCTGAAAATGAGTTACGGATTAGTGGCTTAGAAATGATTAAGGTAAGAAAATTATTATTTTATTATGTGAATCAAATTAAATAATTTAAATGTTTGTTCCCCAGGGAATTTATAACGAAGAAAAAGGAAGATTTTATGATAATGATGAAGAAGTTATTATTCCAATCATAGAAAACTCTAAGTACGAAAGAGATTTAGTTGATACATTTCAGTTGGCATTAATGAAATATCCAAGTACTTCAGCAGTTGTTGTGCGTAATCATGGAATGTATGTATGGGGTAGTGATTGGAAGTCTGCTAAAACACAGTGAGTGGTAACTTTTAATAATTTGACACCTATTATACATAGTTTTATATTTTTTTGAAATTAAAGTATTTAGTATGTTTATTATTTAATACAGAAGTATTACTATTAGAAATGGTATTTAATTTACCTTAATATCTTTAAATATGAAATATATCAAGTAATCTATGTAATTATATTAATTTTTTTTTTTTTATGAATTTTAGGTGTGAATGTTACGAGTATGTGTTTAATATAATGGTTTTTAAAAAAATCAATAACCTTTAAATAAATTCCATTTTCATATTATCATTTTTCCTAAGTGTATATTTATATAATTATAAATAATTATTTAAATAATAGTTTGAAATGTGTAAACAGTGTTAAACTAAAAGATAGAAACTAGAGAAAAAGTGTTACATTATATATATCTAAGCTCTAATAATTACTTTACTTTTTGCATGCTATTAATGCATAACATACATTTATACTCGTAGAATAATGACATTCTTATACTATTGTAATCATCAAATTATTTGCTGTTTGAATTAATTGAATAAACAAATAGTAAAATTAAAAATATATTATACAGTGATTTTTTAATTTATAAATGGTTTTTATATTTTATATTGTTTTTAAAATTGTAGGGACATTTCTAACTTGACTGATCTTAATATAAGGTAAGTTTAATTAATCCAAGTGTACTTTATTTAATTTTAAAATTATAGTTATTAAATACGAGTGAGCAAAAAATTAACACTTGAAACTTAACCACTTATTAAAGCAACTGCATTAAGATTTTCTTCTTTCAAAAGTCAATATTTTATTTATTGAAATCAAACACTTATCTAGAACTATCCAGAAATCATGGCTAATCTTCTTTGGTTTACACATCTAACTAAACCATATTTAAACATAAAAATACATAAAAAATGATTGCAGCAAAGCAGTTCTTTATTTTCCAGAGAACTGAAATAAAACCAACATAAACATGTACAAAATAACAAAACTGATAATTTTAATAATAATTAACAATAACTAGATTAAACAATAAACCCACATAGAACACAACAAATAATAAATACAATTATAATAATTTAATACTGTAAACAGAAAACTTTAGTGACTATAACTCATTTAATATCATAGAAGAGGTAACCTAACCCTGTTTCTCTTTCACTTTAATATTTATTACTTCTATCAAAATCAATATGTTAAGTCTTAACATTTATACAGACAAGTAATAATAATAATAATATTATTATTATTTTAATCAAATGGCAAAGGAATGCTTGTGTATTGCATTATTGGGCTAACCATCTCAACTTGCAGAGCAGTGGCCATACTGTCTGTAGCACTATTGGTCTCTCCCAAACTTTCTAATACTTTTCCCAAATTATACCTATGAAATATACACAAATAAAAATCAAATTTTGAATTAAACTGGACATTGAAATCATTGAAATTACACCCAAACATACCATGTTTCTGGAGAGTAAGGATTTATTTTTGCTGCATCTCTAAGTGTTTTTTCTGCTAATCGGTGACTACCAAGATAATGGTACATTAAACCCTGTATTAAAAAAATAAAATATAAAATATTAAAATCCATTAAGAAGTACATTGCTATTAATTTTACCAAGTGTTGTAGACTTTTTAAATGAGATGGATGAACTGTCACAGCGTTTTGATAGCATTGTTTGGCTTCACTAAACTCATTTCGTTTTTCGTGAAATAATCCTCTCTATATAAACACAATGTATGAAAAGGAAAGAATAACACTCTAAATGTCAAAAACTAATCGAATAATATTAATTGCAATTAGGATAAAACTAATGTTTCGATTCAAACTAATTAACTAAAATTGTGTAAATAAATAAAAAATAAAATCTTTATCAATATGAAATAGAAGTTATACTATACATTTGAATGATCATTTGGAAAGCTTATCTATTTTAATACTATTTTCATTTACCATAAACATGATATGGTGAGATAATGGAAAAATGCTAGCTGCTTCCAATAAACAATTATTTGCTGCATCAAATTGATCTTGAGATAAGTAAATTTCGGCTAAAAGCAACCAGACATTCTGTTGTGTATGCCATACTGTATTAGTCACAGGTCGTTGAGGAACCAACGAGCTAATAGATGATGCTACTTCTGATAAAGCTTGTTCAATACGCGTTGGCCCCAATGAATCTATTTAATGTATAATTTTTTTTTGTAATACAAATAATAATAGACTATGAAAGTAAATTACTTGTATCTTTGTCAGAGTATTCAGTTGTATAAAGTTGAAAAATACTACGAGTATCAGTATGTTCTATGGAAGGAGAACCTTCATGGCTGGCTGAGGCTTTGCACATGGTAAGCATATGTTTAGCAGTTACAAGTGCAACCTATATATAATGTTTACAAATTAATTTATTTTAATTCAAATTATTTATAACCAAACACGATTATTTTAGTTACATCAGAAGCTTCAATCTGCAATTCAATCCTAGCTCTGATGAATAATAAACCAATATGATCAGGGAAATCTTCCAAAGAAGACTCTAAAAGAGCTTTGGCTTCATTTATTTTTTTCTGTGCACTCAACAATAAAATAGCTAACTGCAATGAAGGTGTATGTTCTGGGTTCAGTGATAATGCTTGACGCACTTTGATTGTAGCTTCAGGTACTTTAGCTAAACATGCATAATAAAATGCTATATAATAATGAACCAAATGATCATTGGGATCTAATTGTTGTGCTCTAAAGAAATAAACAGTAATTATTATTATCAAATTCAATCCTTAACATAAAGTAATCTTACTTAGTAAGAGATTCATAGCATAGGGCATGATATTTATCTTTGACAGATTTCAAAAATGAAGTCAATGCCATACACTGTGCTCCAATGCCTATATACAGATGACACCTCGATAGTAAATTTTGGGAATGTACTTTTTCTCTTTTAAGAGCTTCTTGGCTCCAAGTTAGTCCATCTTCCATCTACAATTTAGAACTATCTAGTAATAATTTTTTATTGCATTAAACGTAATTTATAAAATAAACCTTAAATAAATGTTGATAACAAATGCGAGCAGCTAATAAACATGGAACAATTGCATTTGGCTGCATGTATATGACTTGAGTTAATACTTCCAACGCTTTAATGTGACGTCCAGCAGATTCAAGACATAAAGCTTGTTGCATCCACACATGAGTATCATCAGCAGAAAATTTCATAGCTCGTTCAAAAGACTAATCAGATATAATACAATTATACTTAAAATCCAAATTAGTTTTGAATAAAAACAAACCTCGTATAACATATTGTATTGACCCCACAAAACTAATGCAATAGTAAGAAGATCATAGATAGCTGTAGCTAAACTAAAAGCTCTAATTCTTGCTTCTTTAAATTCAGGTGACTGACTAAGAACAGCATTTCTCGCTGCCATTGCTTCACTATTGTTAGTAAATAGTGTAGTTAAGTTTTAAATTGCTTTTAAAGAACTCTTGATTAATTTACCTTATAATAAGTAGTAATATTATTTCTTCATGTTCACTTCTTGGCATAAACATATTAATTGTATTGTATTTTTTTGGTCTTCTTATATTAGCTAGTTGTTTCTTAGGAGCTAAAATTTAAAATTATAGGTTACATTAATAATTTTTCAATAACCATTAGGGAACATACAATTATTATGTCAGCAGTCCTAGAGGAAAGGACGTCATAAGTAGAATCATAGTGTAACAATCTTGAAAAATATTTTAAATTAAATTTTAGTTTAATAAATTCATAGATAAATGAAGTTTTATCTTGGGGCATTTATTAAATAAATATTATTATTAAATTAAATTTTTCTGATTACCTTAGTCATTTTTGATTTTTTTCTTCAGAAAATTCGTTGTTGACAATTATTAATGTTTATTCATCTTAGGTTAATAAAACATAATTAAAATAACACAGTAAATACTATCCACACAATAATAATTAACACATTATAATATACATGCGTGTGGGTCATATTAGTTTACGCTTTTTATTTTATTTTAAATCAAAAATGTGACATGCCAAAATAATATAGATAAGTGGCACACTCAATTTCAAAATTAAAATTAGATATAAATAATATTTGAATTTTGTAGAAAACTGAACAATCATCGATTGTTGTTATTTTTGTGATGCAAGTTAATGCTTGAACAAGCCCATGTGCAGGAACAATCCAAGGGAGGGATTCAAAATTATACATGTTATGTTAAGTAAAAATTCAATAAAAAAAAAAAAAAAAACACAAATTGCCATATCCATAATTGAAAATTAATAAATGTAACAATTGTCTAAACAGCTTAAACAGATGAATTATCAGTGAAAATACATTATATCAATGGCTGTATTTATGATAATCGACAGTAGGTAAAAAATGCATGAAAATTAAATAGGAAAAGACGGCAAATCAAGAAAATTGGCACTTTTATAACAAAAATAGAATAATGAAATAATGAATTTTCAAGTAAGTTTAATTATTGTAGAATGAGGACTAGGTGTATTCTTAGGAAAAATGTATGTAAAAAAATCCTCAATTGTGAGAGGGGGTGGTTAGAAATCACAAAACTCCCTCTTTGCGTACGGGCCTGTGCATGACATATCTTTCATCAAAAGCTTTCATGGATCTGTATTGGTATACTATCGATAACAAAACAACAAACGAATTCCCAAAATACGAAATCTAAATATTATTATGGTTGCTAAAAGTAGGTTATTGTTGAATTATCTTTATAAGCTCAAATTTAGTACAGTCGATATTCTTATTTTATTGTATTATATTTTATCCAATAATATTCTGAAAAAAACAAAAATTTTGAATCTTTTTACAAATTACTTATAGGGTAATAATTTACAACCCCAATAAAAAAAGTAAGGTAGCAACTGCTAATGACGCCTATGCCTAGAGGGGAGGGATTTGAGTATCTTATATAGAAAGATAAATTATAAATTTGATGGTTTTCAGCATAATATTAAAATAATTACACCACAGACAAAATTTTAATCAATGTATGAAAAAATAAAAAGTGGATAAATTACTGACAGCAATGAAAACTGGGCCATTTTATAATTATTTTTACAATTGAAGAAATTAACTTTATAAATAAAAATAAAATGATTTAGGAGGATCTATGAAAAATGTAAATGTAAGATTTGCTAGGGGTAATCAGTATCTGACATACACTTATACGGGAGAGATATGTTAGGGGTCAAAAATGCTAAAAAAAATGTGCCGACCTGAAAATTGAATGTTTATTTATTACAATAGACAACTTACTGTTTTGAGTTGGCAGTGAATAGTATTTTGGAGAAACTTTACGTAAAAGAAATTCAGCAAATTGGTATGTTAAAATAAGTCTAATGGAATGACTACCATGAGCTTCACAAGCTGTTAATATATTCCTAAGTAAAAATCATAAAACTTTTGCATATATAAATTTTGAAATAATAAATTTTTTCATTAATAGCTTTACCTAAATGTATTTATGGCACCAGAATAGTTTGAACTTTCAATCAGTAATAATGGCAACCTTAATATTGCTGTTTCAACTAAGATACTCAAAGAATGTGTCATGTTCACTGGTTGTGGAGAGTGAGATCCTACAAAAAAAGATGTTTACAAAGCTATTTATAGATAACTCTAATATATAAATATTAAATACCTGTTCCAGATGTAGTATTGGTATTTACAATTGATGGTGCATTACTTCCAAGTGGTGATGGTAGCATAAGCTGATTTTCTTTGTGGTCCAATTCTTGCAAATATAAAATACCCAAATTGGCTGCTTGTTCAAAATTTTTAATAACACCTTCAATCCATTCAGTTTTTTTAAAACGAGAGCTAGAAGTTGGTCGTAATTTCTCTTGACAAATACCTACAGTTATAAAAATATATGAAAATTATACTCTAATGCTACAGTAACGATTAATATATTTTTGAACTGAATTCAGAAAATCAGGTAATTATCTTACCTTTGATAGCAAATGATTCAGCTAATATTCTAATGTTACGAATTTGTAATTCTGTTTGAATAACCGAGTTTAACTTGGCATCTGTGCAATGCTGCATTGCTTCATCATACTGGCCACAAGCATAACATAATTTAGCCAATAACATGTGACTATCAATACTCATGCCTGCCTAAAAATGATTTTATATTAGAATTCTATTATTGTCTCAATTTAATATTTTTACAATATTATTTTAAATTATAATTTCATACTTGAGTAGAGAGTTCACTAATTGATTCAGTTAAATAGGACTTGGCTTCAATAAGGCCAACACAAGCTTTGGAAATGTTGCTCTCAATAGGGGGATTTTCTTCCAAAAACATTTCCAACTTAGCTTCGCCAACCATTAAATTATACAGTAATGCTAAATAAACAAAAAAAATTATAAATTATAAAATCATTTTTAACTGTGATTAATATAGGTACTTAGTGAAATATAATTAATTTAATTTTAAAAACAAACCAAAAGCAAATCATTAAAATTTACCAATTAAATAAATTTAAAATAGGCATCATGAATGAACTTAAATAATTGCTTTCTCTTTTCTTTTTATACATGGAACAAATTGTTTTTTATTGTTATGTAATTAGTTAAATAAACAATGACAAAAAATGTACACTTATTTTTGAATAATTTGTATAATAATTCTATCTTATCTAATACTATCGAGATTGATTACATAATAAAAATACAAAAATGTCAACTACTATTATATGTTAATACTGGTAATATAAAAATTAAATTAAATTTAAATTATAAGAGTTTATAAAAAAAAAAAAAAATGTTAACAATCAACTTCACAATATTTATGTCTATAGTTAATTACATTTACAATAATTTTAGTAATGATATAATTTATAGAAATAAAGATGATTATAATTTATAAGGAAAAAATTCAAGTAAAGATATTAATATAAAATTTACATAAAAACACATAAATATAATACTAGTAATAATTGTTTTAAAAAAATTAATAACTTTTACTTAGGCAATAAACATTGAGTTTTAATTTAATTAATTTCTCATTTATTTCATATATTTTTACTTTTTATAGGAAACCTTGTTTCTGGTAATCGGTAAAAAATACTAAAGAAAAAATAACAAAATCAGTATAGCTGGAAAATAAACTGTCACATGAGTTTGTTTTGTTTTTTTTGATCTTAAGGTTTTTGAGAATGAAATGAATAATTAACTCATGAAGCAGGGTCTTAAATACAAAGAACTATCCCATCCACAACAGTATCAAGATCATTGCTTCTAGTAGGACACTAGTATTTTATCTTACCTAAGTATGGAGCACCAAACTTACAGTGCTGTTGTAATGAGTAAAAAATAATTTTTTGTAATAGAAAAATCAACACATAATATTATAAATTATATATTGTTAAACTAAAATTTTGTGCATAAGGTTCTTACAATTATGTTGTTTAAATTAAATCATATAACTTAGTTTTTTTTTTAAAATGTTAGAACTTGGTTAATTGTGTCTATGTTCGGTCTGAGTGCTGAGTCAAGGGTGTAAGGGATATTGAGGTTGTTGAGTTCGTTTTTTCTTGGAGAAAGTGTTGTACTATTTTGAGATTTTGGCTTTTGCACCAGAAGTTAAAGTCGTCTGCGAAAAGATTGGCTTTAACAGGGAATATTACTGTATAGGTTGTCATTTATTGAAGATCCTTGGGGTATTCAATTTTGCTGAGTATAGTTTTTTGATCAGACTTTCAACTTAAGCAAAACTTTTCAAAAGGCGAATGGGAATTTGATAAAAATCTAAGCGTATTATTCATAGACTATGATTCGATCCATAGACTCAGTGTTGTAAATAAAATAAAAAAATTCAGTTTCCCCAAGAAATTAGTAAACATAGTTGAAGCTACCCTAAAATATATGGAAATAAAATTGAAAACAGCAAAAAGAACTTCGGAATCGTGATCAGAGTAACAACAAGATTGAGACAAGGAGATACACTCTCACCCATTCTCTTTAAATTGATGTTGGAGAAGGTTGTCAGAGAAACAAATGTGACTGAAGGTTTTTAGCTAGGGTAGACAACTTCTGGCCTTCTAACTTACGCAGATGATATGCTATCATAGGGAATAATTTAGAAGAAATTAAATCATCATGTAAGCAACTCATAAAAAATATAGGAAAAGTCGGTTTGCAAATCAATGATGAAAAAACGGAATAAATAATAGTGAAAAGAAGAGAGGTAAATTACCAACAAGATGAAATAATAAAATTAGAAAACCACAGCTTTAAAAGAGTCTCCCACTTTAACTATTTAGGTCCAATATTAACTAATGACAATAATATAAAATTAGAAACTGATACTAAACAAAAAAAAGGAAATAATTGCTACTATAGGTTGGGAAAAATACTAAGCGCTAGAAATGTTTCAAAAAATCTTAAAGTAAAGATATATATGAATTTGATACACCCAATAGTACTATACGGCTCGGAAACTTGGTCTCTCTGGAAAGCAGAACATATGAGGTTGAAGGTTTTTGAAAGAAAAATTTTGAGAAGGATTTTTGGACCATGCAACAATGAACAAACCGGAGAATGGAGGAAAAAAAATAACTAAGAACTCTAGAACCGTTTTCAACACCTTAACATCACAAAAGAAAACTGAAATGGGCAGGGCATGTATGAAGGAACCGGGGTTACTTATAAGGACTGTAATCAAAAACAACCCAGCAGGAAAATGACTCTTAGGTAGACCTCGCTTAAGATGGGAAGATTGTATTATTAAAGATGTCGGAAGAATATATACTTGGAGGGCTGGACTTAAAATATTTAATCAAATGTATCATTGGCAATTTTGCTCTATACCATACATATATGGATTTACAAATTCTATGGCTTGAAGTTGTGATTCCCTTCAAACAATATACCATATCTCCAAAAATACATTCTAAAAAAACATAATAATTCTAAAAACAAAATTTTAAGTATCTTTGGAATAGTTAAGACCCTAAAATATAATAATATACCTACATATATCATTTATTATCTATAATATAAACAAATAATTTTTGTATTTTATTATTAAGTTATGTTTACAACTTAATTATACCTTTAAGATCATTTTAAACACTATAATATTTCTTAAACTATTCATACTATATTTGATGTTCAAATACTACTAATATAATGCTGGAGCATAAGTCATAAAATAAAACAAGATGGAATCCCATTAATATTACTAATATAAGTCTATTATTAATGTTGGGACGAAATCACAATAATTACAATAAAGCTACAATGTTAATATTTATCAACATAACACATACCTTTGCTGGAAGACAATTGTTCGGCAAGTTCCAATATTTTCGACCAATTTCCTTCTTCTCGACACCCGGCCAGGTCCGATTCAACCCTAGTGCTTTTGACGTTTTTACTAGACATTATGCCGTCGAAGTTGTTTTTCACGCGTTTGCACGATTACTGTGAGGAGAAAAAATACGAAATATCCTTTCAAGTTGTACGCCCCGTCACTGCCGATTTTAATCCGTACTTTTGGCGACGTAGTGTAATTTACTGAGAGACGATGTCATGAAAATACCGCAGAGAATATACTAGTTCGTAACAACAGACAAAAATATTCCATAACGTAAGTTAATATATTGTACTAAGCAATAATTATTATCCAATCAGTCCAAGGCCGAACGACGAGCGAATTATAAAATACAAGCACGAATCGGATATGATTATATTATATATTAAACTAAAAACGCGAATTAAGATATACTGGATACTCAACGACCGATGATAAGACAAACTGATTTTTCGATTTCTAATGTCTTACAGCACTACGAGTGGATAAAATTAACATTCAGTGATAAAATGCATCAGAAATTGATAACAACATATAAAAATATTCAGAAACTAAATATTATTTTGGATTAAGAAAAAAAAAATTTTAGATTCAGAAAAATAAAGATATCGTGATCATGTATTATTTTATAAAATTAAAAAATAAATTTTGGTGGTAAATAAATTGATGTCTATCTCATAGATATATAATACATATATATCTGTGGTCTATCCACTTGTATAAATGGCTACTAATATGATAACAAACGCTAAATGCACTTTATAACAGCTGTATTGGGGAGTCAGTGTTCCTCTCACAGATATAAAATACTATAATAGATAATACCATTATAGATAACTAACTTGTCTACTTCGGGTTTGTCTATATCACAGATATATAATAATATATAATATATCGCTTCTCCGGTGGAACAACGGCGTAAGTGAAAATGTAATTGTCCCATTGGACATGTGATTAAAAACCGGTATTTTCAACAATGACGAATCTGTTCTCTAGCGGTCAATAATAGGTATTATACTTATGTCATTGTTCCATTCGATAAAATGAAATGTTATTGTACTGTTGTCGTACTTATGTCTAAAAATCAAAAATTTGCACTTATGTCGTTGTTCCACCGGAGAAGCGATATGTTATTACATTTAGGCAATATTCAATTCCTTTTAAATTTTGTTATTATAGAACTAATAGGTACATGTAAAATAGTAGGTAATAATTTATTTGACAATGGTTGCATTGTTTGTTATTGTTACTCTAATACCAATAGTTATAAATACAAATAATATTACATTATGAAACATGAATTGGTTGACTCTATTATTATTAACTGCATATTTTCGTATTTCTACCTTGACCAATTACAATTTTTTTCCTGACCAATACCCAGTGGTAAACCAGGCATTTTCTGATAGAGCCTATTTGGCCCTATAGGCCCACATCTGAGTAATTATCCCGTCAGCAATCAATGTAGTTATCTCATAAGAACATTTATAAAATTAAAATAAACTTAGAATTCTTAATAGTCAAGTAACATGCAAGTTTAAAGGAGTTAAAAAGTTAAGTTAACTTAACTCTTTAGCTTAACTAGTTGCCTTTGAGTTTTCACTAACTTATTTAATAACTTAACTTTAATGTTTATTAACTAAATAATTAAATTTATATTTTAAAGCATTCAAGATAATTTATTTTCTATTAAATGCACTGAAAGTTTATATTTCAATTCTACTAGAAGATTCCTAAAGTATAAAGTCATTAAGTGACCCTTTTCCGTCCAATGCTTGCCAAAAAAAAGATCAGTCCAAAGAGGATAAATATACATGTACGTTATATAACGGACTCTTGCACCCGTCAGGGTCATACAATATTTCTTTGTGCGAGATGTAAATTTATATATTTTTCATTTTCAATATTATGTTACTAACAGAGATTTTAAATAATAATGTTTTATTTTTAAAATTATTACTGCCACATTTATTAACATAAATAGGGAAATCAAAATAATAATTTAAGTTGGTGCGCATATACCTAGTTGCATTTGTGAAATAGACTTAAAAACTCTACTTTTAAAGTTTGGATTTTAAGTTGGAATTTTTAAATTATTTTTAACAAACTCTCCATACCCAAATTAATTAAAAACATTTATTTTCAGTAATAAAAAAAAATCATGCAATTAAGGGTTAAGATAAGATATATAACAAAAAATAGTGCGCTTAAGTGTGGCTCGTGCAGCCATACAGGATGGCAATTTCAACCTTGTACTTGAATACATAATTAGAAATCGTATATATTAGTGTTGGATTCACTATGTGTTTCGATTGACAAGAAGACAGGCATGCCCGACGAGAATGGGCAGCTGGTGCTGCAGGCGCGGAACTAGAACTCAAATTGGGGAGGGGTCATTTTTTCGAAAGTACAAAAAGATAATTTACAATTAAAAAATAATAAAAGTAAATTATTAATTCAAATTAAAACTTATGAATATATGAAATTGTTAATTTTTAAAATTAAATAACAAAGTTTAATCTTCTTTGTTTTATTTTTCCAAATTTAGAAATAATATTATCAATATTTATGTGTATATTCTCGTGAATATTGAACAAAGCGTTCCTTTCCCATGTTTAAACGAAGCCATGAAAGCTTAAGCCTTAAAACGCTTGAGAGTAGAGAATGATCGCATGTATAGTATTTTTTAACAAGTTATTAGAACCTAAATTAGCGATTAGCGGTGCCATAGCAAGTATATGGTATAATATTATTATACGGGTAACGGATTGGGAGTAACCGAATTGGTTCCCGTTTGAAAAAGGTATTTTATTAGGTATAGCCGAATTGGTTCCCGTTTATGTACAGGTTAGGCGAGCCAGTGCATTGAGAGCAAAAAACAAAATTTTAAAAGTTATATGTATGACATATAGACACAATTATTATATCGATAAGATAGAGTATAGAAATATAATAGTTATAATATAGATTACTAGATACTAGCAAATTACTAGCAAACAGGAAAGAAATAACAAATACTATTGTAAAAATTGTATGACTGAGTACATTAATGAGAAGATTACGAGAATTGAATATTTAAAGAAAGTTAGCTTCAAATTTGCAAATCAGTGGTTTTAAAATGTATTTATTATATTTTATTATTTGTATTTCGTACACTTAAGTGATGACTAGTTGACTTCCGAATCAACGATTTAAAATTGTATATATTTTATCATTTTTTTTTCAACACACATTAACGCACATTGTTAACCAAGCCTACTTTAAAGTTGACTGTCAAAAAACTGTAAAATTGAGATGGAAAATTTGCGGCGTAATTAAATGGGAACCAATTCGGCTATACCTAATAAAATACCTTTTTTAAACGGGAACCAATTCGGCACGTGGGGACGAAGCTTGGGAACCAATTCGGTAAAAGCCCTTCTGGTTATTTTCATGTCTATATTTAAGATTTCGATTAGAAGTTTACTCCAATCGTAACAGTCATGAAAGACATACGAAAACTGGTACCTAGCCAATATATTTAGAGGAAGCTAGATATTTTATTAATTTTTGACCATTTCCCGAGTAATTGAAAAAACTGAAAAGTAATTATGAAAACATTTAACTGAGTTCGTGTTACGAACTTGCTAACACCAATTATCTTTTCAGGAATTAGTCGATTAGATTAAAGAAATTACATTTTATAAATATTTCATAATTTTCAAAAAAATATGCTAATTGTAAAGACATACGATACAATTTTCGATTAAAAATTAAATATAATGAATAGTTACGATATTAAAAAGCATTTTTGTAATATTTAATGACTAATGATACAATCAAAGCTATTACAACATAAAAAAAAATTAGTATCTGTATTTGGGGTTAAAGAGTTGATCCAATTATTTTACTATTTACTAATTACTCGCTAGTTGAAATATATAAGAATAAAGTAGTGTTATGACATTTCGTGGAGTTTTGTATTTAATAAAAATCAAATAAAAACTTATTGTTAACTGGTTCAAACGAAATACAATAAATAAAAATATAAACAAGTATGATTTATAAAATTTGTTTAGTAAACAATACAGCTTTGTTATTTCTTTACAGCATTTAGTTTTGCACTTAATACCACGGTATCTTGACTTACAATTTCAACGCTTTGATATAATATTCAATCAGTTCGATTTCTTATTATCATAATAACCGTAGAGCTACTATACTTGTATATTTTATAAATATACTTTATAATTTGTAAGTTTATATATTTCAAGATGAATAATAATTACATTCAATCTGCTACATGCAAAGGAGAAAATAGACTTCTGAACATTGTAGATCGATCGCAATTGATTAAACCGGATTCAATGATTTCGAATCATAGTGAAATGATAGCTCAGCTTAAAATGAAAATCGAGATTCAGCAAGCGACTATCAATACATTATTGTCAGAAATAAACGAAATCAAAAGTATCTGATTGTTAAAAGCTCTTAAAATTACAGAAATAATATCCACTTCTAATGTACTATAATAGCATAATATACTTTTGCAGTTAATTTTCAATTTCAAAGTAAGTTCAAGGACGACGAGTTGTCCCATTTAAGAGAAAAGTGTTCAGAGTTTCAAAGTAGAGTTAAAGAATTAGAAGGTATGTAACCAATTATAGATTTAAAAAATAATTTATCGAAATCTATAAATCAATGTACATTGTAAGGTAAAACAATATCAAACAAACGTTATTTTCAGATAATTCGATTAACAAATTAAATATTGATCGCCTTCAAAATTCATCAGAGAAATTAACCAAAGAAAGTAAGTCAATGCAGAGAAAAATCAAATAATTTGTTACTGAAAATAATTTTTTGATGTCAAAATTAACTGATGAATTTATAAATTGTCCAGGAGTATCGTTTGATGGAAACGAAAGTGATATCAGCGAATTGAATGAAGCTGATAAGAGTGAAAACAAAGATAACGAATGTTGCGAGGAATTTACTGAAATAGATGAAAATACTACTACTACTATCGCCGACGTCGTTTTGACATTTTTCACAAATTTCTTAGGTTTTTTCTTTATATTATTTAATAGAATTTTTTCTTATGAAGGTATCCAAAAAACCTCTGGTGCAATTGATGTTCAGCAAAGTCAAATACACGAATTGGCTGAATTCGATGAAAAGCTGTCTGTAGCCACCACCATTGATAGTATTGGCCACAAAACTACAGAAGCCAACCAAGTCCAGCCACTTCGACTGAGCAAAGAATTAAAGGAAAACAATCAGGATAATATGAATTGCGTATCGATTACAAGGACTACCCAGATAGATCACGAAGTAAATTTAATGGACAGTGCGAATTCTACATCCACTAAGGAAAACATCTGCAATGTAACTAATACACTCACGGGTTACAATGAGAAGTTGATTGCTGTCCAAATACAGGATCAAATAGAGACCGTCGATACTACTAGGAACAACCCTAAGT